AGTACATAGTGTTGCCCAGGGGCAAAGATGAAGCTGTCTATAGCAAGCTCCAAATCTCACTGAAGGCAAGCATTCCATCCTTAAACTGCATGCAAATATTGTTGTATTCTATAATAATCTCAGGTTTGTTCTCACGTAAAAGTCCTATTTGTTCCCCTTTTTCAGTAAAATTGTCATTGCAGAAGCTGTCCCTGGTTTGTCTTGGGACTGCCTGCCCCTCGGAGCAGTGGCCTTGGAGCTACACTCATCCCAGTGTGAGAGGCAGTGATTTATATAGAGTGGGAAGCTAGTGAAAGAGTTGGAACTGGGAGATGCCTCATACCAAGTGGTGATTTTGAATGAGTTGTCTGTCCGAGATGTGTCGGATGGATTAGATGGAAGGAGAGCTGAGTCCCAGAAACTGGGTAAAGACTGCATTAATAAGTACAATTTAAATGTGCATTTATCAAGCATCCTTTTTTTTTTTTTGAGTTGGAGTCTCACTCTGTCACCCAGGCTGGAGTGCTGGGGCACATTCCTGGCCACACCAGCATCGATCTGGGGGTGCTGGTGATCCTTCCACCTCAGCCTTCCAAATAGCTGGAACTACAGGCATGCACTACCACGCCTGGCTAATTTTTTATTTTTATTGTAGAGACGAGGTCTCGCTAAGTTGCCCGGGCTGGTCTCGAACCCACAGACTCAGGCAATCCACTCGCCTCAGCCTCCCAAAGTGCTGGGATCACAGGCAGAGCAACCCAGCCCAGCCTTATCAAGCATTCTTTAAGTTTAGACCCTGTAGTGTCAGATCTTCCATGCCTCACCTTCCCTACCCCAGCTTGGGTGCTTCACATACTGGTGAAATATCCACTTTGTCTCAGACTCAGCCCCAACCCAGACCGCCATTTACCTAAACTGCACCTGGAAAGTGCTGCGATCAAACGTGCTGGCCTCCCTGTTTCACCAGCCCCCATCCTGTCCCACCTGGTGGTTCCCTGAGCTCCCAACCTGCTCAGGCCTGTCGTAAACCACTCAATCCCGAGTGATACAGGCTCCATTATTTTAAAACTGATTTGGAGATGCCTTCTCTGATTCCTGTGAGCTTTTAATTTCCTGGTTTGTGCCTTTTTTCCTGTCCAAGAAGCTTCATTCTTGTTATTAAACTGGAGACTGGAAGTATCCTTAAAATGTTTTAATTTCTTCCTACTCAGCATGCACTGATGGTTCTCCTCAGGCAGGGGAACAAGGCTGTACATCCCCATAACCACTGAAATCATTCCCTTTGTGGCTATTTGAGGAACATTCCATGTCTGATCACTGCTGAGCTTCTGGGCCTGAAGAAGACTGCTGGTTTTGTATCAGTTTGACTGTGGGGGTTTGAGCATGAAAAACCCAAAGAAACCTTATGTTCCTTACTATTAGTTATAAAATATGATTAGTTCCTTAAGAATTAATTAAGGACTCACCATATAATCCAAAAACTCCAGTTCCGGGTATATGCCTAAAAGAAAAGCAGGAACTCAGATACTTGTACACCAATATTCACAGCAGCATTATTCACAATAGCCAAAAGCTAGGAACAACCAAGTGTCCATCAACAGGTGAATGGGGGAAAATGTGTATACGTACAATGGACTATTGTTCTGATTTTAAAAATTAATCCTGACATATGCCACAACATGTATGAGCTTAGAAAACATTATGCTAAGCGAAATCGGCCAGACAAAAAAGGACAAATGTTGTATGATTCCTCGTATATGAAGTACAGAGAGTAGTCAAATTCATAAAGACAGAAAGTAGAACAGAGGTTACCAGGGTTTGGAGAGAGGGGAAAAGGGAGCATTATTAGTTAATGCATACATAATTTCAGTTTGGGATAATGGGAAGGTTCTGGAAATGGGTGGTAGTGACGGTTGTGCAACATAGTGAACTTAGTGCCACTGAATGATAAACTTAAAAATGGTTAAAATGGTAAATTTTATGTTATGACTATTTTAACAGTAAAAAAAAATCAGACCAGTTAAAAGTTTTCTATTTCACAATTCAGGTTTACATGCCAACTGACTCCCACAGTGAGTTGTCTTATTGGGCAATTCAATATATAATTCAGGTCAGAAATATTTTACTGATAAATAGCTGCAATTTAACATACAGGGGGGAAAAAGAGTTCAAAGGAGGAAAACAGCAATCCTGCCCTGTTCACCTTTGTTTAGATTATATGCTTAATTTACTCTGCCTAGGATCTGTCACAGTACAAGAAGGGAATGACCCTGGTGACAGAGTATTACAAAAAAAAATTTTTTTTTTTTTTAGTTGGAGTCTCACTCTGTTGCCCAGACTGGAGTGCAGTGGTCGCTCCCGGCCACCACAGCCTCGACCTGCTGGGCTCTGGCAATCCTTCTGCCTCAGCCTTCCGAGTAGCTGGAATTACGGCGCGCGCTCCCAGCTAATTTTTGATATATTGTAGAGATGAGGTCTCGCCAAGTTGCCCAGGCGGGTCTTGAACCCGCGGGCTCAGGCAATCCACTCACCTCAGCCTCCCAAAGTGCAGGATTACAGGCTGAGCCACCGAAGCCTGGCACAAAAAATTTTTTTAGAGATCGATGGACCTATGACATATGTATACAATTTTCTTTAATGGTAAGATTGACTTTTTATTTGAAAAATGCCAAATTATGCTCCTTTTTATGGGGAAATACTCTGCCACAGATTTTTATTAATATTTCCCTGTGCTCTATGGTCCTAGTGAGGAAAAAATAATCCCCATGCTAGCTCTCAGAATCCACAGCAATCCAGGACTGCCAAGGACAGACTTAACGTGACATCCAGATGACAGGTAAGCACGGGATGACCTGGAGCACACTGAGTCTCCTGTTGGTGAAAAGCAGTGGCCGTGAGTGTGCCACTGCACTCCAGCCTGGGCAACAGAATGAGACTCCGACTCAAAAAAAAAAAAAAAAAAACCTATTACATTAACTGGCAGATAGTAGACTCTCAGTAATTGTTGCTTGTTTGTTTATTTTCAGGTTAAGCATGCACGTTGTGATTGTGGCAAGTGTGAGGTAGTGGAATTTCATATTGAGAGATGGAATAGACCAAACAGGTCTTGATAGAAAACATTCAACGTAAGCAAAGATGTTTCTGTTTGTTGTTGTAGATCTTAACGTGCAAATGTAGCTCTAAGTCACAGAAATGTCCTATTTCTCTGAAGCTAAGATGCACTCACAACCATTTTCAACTTT